AGCTTGCAACTTAAAAGAAAAAAAAGTAGTCCTTCTAAATCCCCCAATTCACAAAAAAACAGCAGTTTCAATTGCACTTAATCAGTTACTTTAAAGCCAGGAGAAGTCCAGAAACACTGTATCTCTCTTGCAGAGTTAGCTGTCAAAAGTACTCTGTTTACCGATAGTGCTTTTCACAGAGCGGCATTCCTTTTCTCAGGGCAGTCCGTTCCCAGGCTCTAAGCGGTAGATTTTAGCTTCCTTTCCCTCTGTTTTTTCAGATAAATACAGTTCAAACCTTTCCCCACTCCTCTCCTGCAATCCGGAGGGGAGATCGCTTTTCTGATGTTAGGATTTAAGTCTTTATTCAAACGTCTTTCAAAGTTTCCACTTGCAGTCTCTTTGCTTTGATCTGTTTACAAGAAAGGAAGGCGGACTTCCTGTTTATGCCTTCCCGCTTCGGTGCTGAATTAAATTATTTTTCCCTTTAAATCCAATTTTATCCTACTCACAGGTAGTTGCTTTAGAAGTCAAATTGTCCCAGGAAAAAGTCAGCGCTCTCCGATAACGGCTGTGCGGCTTCACTCCGCGGAAAAAGCAGTCGACTCTCAGCACCGCGCCGCTCACCCCGTCTCGCTCCGGAACCCCTAAAGGGGTCCCTTCGCAGTTTGGGGGGGCGCAAAAGGTGCCCGCCGAGTCCCCACGTTCACAGGCTTCACCCGCCTGTGATTTTCAAAGGGTCCCCGCTTCGGCGCAGCGGTCCGACCCGATCCCGCGGAGCTGGTCCCTCAGAAACTCAGAGGGAATCCGCCATTACCGATGGCGCCAACCCAGAAGTCGAAAGAAATTTGCTTCTGAATGCCAGTTGTTTGAAACTACAGGAGGTGTGAGTGCACTTGTCCTTAGGATCTAGTTGCTGATTACCCATAGGCATTTGTTTGATCACTGTGAGAACAGGATGCTGGACTAGATGGGCCATTGGCCTGATCCAGCAGGCTCTTTTTGTGTTCTTAATTTCAGAGGGGGTGGGGGGAAAGCAAGAGAGAGCTTTGTCACTGATTCAAGCAGCACTGCTTTAGTAATTAAGAAGAGAATACTCTGTGGGACACAGCATCAATTGCAGGAATAGTCTTATAAGAATAGAATTGTAGTGTTTGGAAGGTACCCTGAGGATCATCTAGTCCAACTCCTTGCAATGTAGGAAACCTTCAGCCTTGGAGTAATCAGCACCATGCTCTAACTGAGCTATCCATTATCAATACAGTAGGTGAGAGAAATTTAGTTTCTTCATCTGACCAAAGCTTCTGCATTGGAATCACAGCTTCAATGGGGGCATCAATTTCTGCATTCTCCTTTCAGAGTCATTCTTACTGCATTGCTCATCTTGGGACCCCTCAGAAACTCCCATGGTGCCTGCCACAACAGCACTTGGTCCTTGTCGGTAGAACAAATAGTCCAAATCAAACAATAAATCCTTTCATGCACTCTGCAAACTTCTTATTGGGTAATATAGTGGGGGTAAATTGCTGGTAGCTGCATGTTTCATTATTTACCTTAACCTAGAGGTGGGAGGCGGTAACTGGTCCTCCAAATGTTAGACTACAACATCTATCAGTCCCAGTGTTCATGGTCAATGGTCAGGTAAGTTAGTAACTGTAGTCAAGCAACTTCTGGAGGTGCTTCAAGTTCTGCACCTGCACCTGTTGCTTTTTGGAAATAATACAATCCATATGAGTTTACTTTCAGCTGCTCTCTTCCTCTCTGCTTGGGCCAGATATGGCCTGAGAGGCCAGCTGATAGGTGGGAGATTGAAGCAGATGCTGGAAACAGGATATACTTCCCTGTTTTCAAGTGTAATTGCTAGACTGCATCCTAAGAAAGACAACTGACATTCAAAACGATTCAGATGTTATCTCCTAGTGGCCAGCCTTATAGCTCTGAGGCCTTCTCCTTGGAGCTTTGATTAGCTTGTCACTCTCCAATAATTGAAAGCTGTGCGGGGTCATGAAATGGCATTTCTCGCTGAGTCTCTCTGCTTATGTATCTCTGGTATGCTACAGAACAACCTTTCTCAGCCCAGTACCCTATAGGAGTTTTGTACTCCCAGAAGCCCGCCCCAACATGGACAGTGCATGGGGATGATGAGGAGCATCAGGGAAGCACAAAGTTGGGGAGAGCTGCTACGGAACTCACTTAGGCTCCAAGCCTACCAAAAATGAGTAGATGGACATGGGATAAGATCTGAATATCGTATCATATATATATATATATATATATATATATATATATAGCTAGTTTGCTATTGTCCATCCATTGGTAGCCTTACAGATTACTGCAATGTGCCCTAAGTGGAGCTATACTTGGGGTTGGCTTGGAGACTGCAGCTAGTTCAAAACACAGCAGTTAGGTTTCATATGGCACAAACTACCACTTGCTTGTGAAGTTATCCCTGGTTTATCCCTTAGCTACCTAGTAGGCCATGGTGGGAAGGTGTCTCCTGCAAGTCCCCAAGGTCTTAGAAGCTCACTCTGCAGTAGCTCAGAGCAGGGCTTTTAGTGTGGCTGCCCCTGCCCTGTGGAACAACATTTATGTTGAGGCATGCCAGGGACCCACAACTGGAAACAGTTGAAGAAATTTTTGTTCCGACAGGTTTTCTGAGCTGAATAAATGAGTCTTTGCTATGAGTGTCTATTATGTATTGTTTTTGTTTATTTATTGGCTGTGTTTTTAACTGTTTTTTCCCCTTCTGTTTTTATTGTTTATCACCTGGAAGGCAAATGATGATGATAATAACTAATAAATAATTTATTAAACATGTTACTTGCCCCAAAGGCTTCCAAGCAACTAGCAACACATTTAGAAACAATAAAATAAACATATCATACTATAAAAACAAGTAAACTCCATAACAGTTACTGGAAGCTTTGGCAACCAACTGTATAGTTTTTAGGTTTCATTTCATTTCTAGGAGAAGTGTAGGATTGACTAATGTTGCTCAGAGACCCAGAACATTTTAAGAAATTCATGAGTAGAGATGGAAAAAGACAACTGGATAAATGCTTTTTTTCACCCAACCCCATTTTTCTTCGCTTGTGTATGCTCTGTGGATATTTCAATGAGTAGACTCCTTAGAGTCATTCTTTAAGGCAGCTTCCCCCAGCCTGGTTATTTCTGGGGGCTGTTGGACTACAACTGCCATAAGTTAGAACCATTCCCCATGACCTAGCACCCTTGAGTCTTTTATTATTATTTTTTAATTTGTATTTAATTGATCATCAGTTACAAATTAATTAGATGTAAAAAGAAGAAAAGAAAGAGAATTATATCAACAACAATAACAAAAAGGCAGAGTGCAGAGCCATCACAAAGAGGGAAAAATATAACAGAGGCAATCTCAGTTGAGGATCACTGGATGTACAGTATTCAGATGAAACTATCATTCCACAATGTTTTGTGCATTGCTGGCAGATGGAAGCCATACTCAATAAATTGTGCATATTCAATATGTTTCATAAAATTTTGTGTTTTTCTTTCCAGTACAATTATGAAATGTCCAGTCCAATTAGACCCCCAAATAGCTCTATTATTTTATTTACATCTAGAAGCTCAAAGAACGCCTAATAAATACCTTATTACCCTTGATTCTTATTGTAGCAGTCCCTTTATTTTTCAAAAGGAGAGCAAATCCCTTAAAAAAAAAAAAGCGTGTGTGACCTACATAACATTAAGATCTTTGCTGCGTGGATTTTTTTCGGCCAGTGCAGCAGCAGGAGAATCTGCATTCGGCACAATGTTGTGCCTTAGCTCATGCAACAGCTGTTCTATAGGGAAAGCTATTTCGACTAGTTAGATTTCTGACACCCCTTTGAATGGTGGCTGGCAGGAAAAGACTTGAGCTGTCACAGCTTGGCTGCAGGGATTCGGTCAGAAGACAGAGAGTGAAGAAAAGATGGTGCATTCAAATAAATATAAACACTGCGTGGATTGATTCTTACTGTGCATGCTTCCAAGTTTCCACTTTTTATGAATCATTTTTCTTCTCCAAGATTTGAGGGTCACCAGTAGTTAACTTCAATTTCAGAAATAGCCAGATGGTTGTACTTATTTCTGGCAAGGGAAGTGAGTGTTATATATTTGCAGTCAGATGAACAGGGATATCCTCTGGAAGATGATAATGTCCTCCCCCCATCCCCCCTTCTCCCCTTTCCAAAATATTTCTCCACGTTGCTGACAACTCTGAACCTGAACACCATATCGCTATATATAGTTGAGAGTGGGGAGCAATTGCCCATATCCCTAAACCATGGTGGTCAAACACGTGACCCCCAGGCACACATGGCCCATGAGGTCTTTTGGCAGCCCTCAACAATGTCAACATAAGTTCATTATCAGGAATGAGCTGGACGTAAATGACACTGTGCAAGTTGCAGTTAATTCTTTTTTTCTTTTTCAAAATTGTTTAAAAAAGTAATACAATGCAATAGTATGCAAGACAAGGTTGACTACCAATTTTACTACCATTTTTTAAACTTTGCTCAAAATCAAGCTGTCATTGAATCCAAAGAACCATTAAATATGACTGAACATTTGACAATATCAGCATTTAAAAATCTAACAATAGTGGCATTCATCTACTGCTTAAATTAAAATACAGGTCTCCCAACAATCACATTACCTATACACAACTCTGTACTGTTTTTATACTGAAGCTAACAATGAGCTGCATTCGACTTCACATTCTTAGCAAAATCATTGACTTTTGAGCACAAAATCTTTACAGCAGCTTTATAACTCCACTCTTCATCTTCATCTTCCTCCTCATCTTCCTCCTCCTCTTCTTCTTCCTCATCATCTTCTTCAGGTTCTACTTTCTTCTTGGAGCCATGCTGGCCTACCTGGACCTTTCTTTCCTGCATCACCCTTCCCCTTGGCACGATATGCTGCAACATCCTTCTCATACTTCTCCTTTAGTTTTGCTGCCTTCTGCTCAAAGGCTGTTTGTCTTTTGCTGTTTGCTCAGACTACATTTCGCCTAGTTTCTTTGCTGTATCACCAATAGACAAACCTGGGTGGTCGCTTTTTATCTTTGGGTGATGCTCAGAACAAAACAGGAAGAAAGCAGATGGTGGTCTTTTGGGGGCATTGGGGTCCTCCTCCTCCTCCTCCTCCTCCTCCTCCTCCTCCTTCTTCTTCTTCTCCCCTTTAGGAGGAATATAACTTTTCATCTCCCTATCATAATGAACTTTATCACCCTTTGCCATGTTTTCAAACTTGCCTTTTTCTTTTGCTGACATTGTCCTCCATTTCTCAGAACATTTCTTGGAGAAGTTGGAAAAGTTGACCGAAGTGTCCAGGTGCTTCTTCTTATGTTCCTTGTGGCACGTTTGCATGAAATAAGTGTACGAGGACATCTTGCCCAGGGGCTTGTTCGGGTCGCCTTTGCCAATGGCTGCGGTAACAGTCCCTGATCGGTGGGAAAAGATGTTTGTGGTACTTAGCTCCTCACCTGGTGGAGCTGAGGAAGAGAAGCAGCGGCCATTGGCGATGTCGAGAGGGGGGGTCAAGTAAAGCGCATGGATCACCTTCCTTCACTGCAGTCGAATGAGTTGCAGTTAATTCTTCATTAGCAAAGACACGATCTGCACAAACTTGCTGGAGTTGCAGGCCTAATGAGCACAGCAGCTCATTCCCAGTAGGTCTGACCCCCATGAAGCAGTTACTGAGACTGACAATCTCTGCCTCCCCACAACTGTCTAAGACCCCTCCTCTCCAGAGCTTTTTCCAAGCAGTTGGAGATTTCACCTGGGTGAAGCCATCCTTTCATCTGCCCTTTTCATGTCTCTTCTGGTTCTGGGAGGGAAGCTTGTTGCAGCAAGAGGGGGAGACACCTGCAACTCTGCACCAGTCTGATTCATTTCTGCCTCTTGGCCTCCTTTGTCCCATGCTCCTCCTTCAGCTTCTGCCTCTGATTCTGGTCTTTTTCTCTGCTCCAGACTCTGCCAGCTCACTAAATCCTCTTACCTCTTCAGCACCTCCTCCTCCTCCTAGTCTTTTCTCTCTACTCCCTCTGACCACGCATCATTGTCCCATCACCAACCCTCAGGCTCTGAGACTTCTTTCCTTCAAGGTTCCCCAGCTGGTTCCTCCCAAGATTCCTCTGCATCTAACTAGTCCATGATATGCATGTACAGTGCCCTCAGACCTACTGCCTCCAGATCACCTTTTTTAAGGGACTGAGGGAAGTGGGGAATTTCTTTTCAGCCCCTTTTCTAATGATCTCCAACATAAAATTTACAGTTTTCCATAGCTGCCTCACAATGGTTCAACATCTTCAATTAATAATAATAATAAAAATAATGGCCTCCAACAAAATATAAAGAACATATGATACATCAGACATTATGACCCCAAGGTCACATTTCAGGTTATAGAATTATAGAATCCTAGAGTTGGAAGGGATCTCAAGAATCATCCAGTTCAACCCCCTGCAATGCAGAAATTTCAACTAAATCATACATGGCAAATGGTCATCCAACTTCTGCTTAAAAACCTCCAAGTAGAGTCCACAACCCGCTGAGGGGGGTTGTTCCAGCACCAGTGGAACCACCAGTCACCACCAGTTCAGTCCCATTAGTATATATGGGAATTGAGGGTGTTTTTGCCCCAGTGTGCATCACTTTACACTTACATACTTTGAATTGAATGCACCATTTTATTGCCCATTTACCAATTTAAGAGTTCCTTTTGGAGTTCCTTGCAATCACTTTTTGTTTTAAATGCTTTGAACCATTTGGTATCATAAGCAAACTTGGCTACTTCATAGTTCATCCCCAACTTGGAGGGCTTTAAAAGAGGATTAGACAAATTCGGGGAAGATATGGCTACCAGTGGCTGCTAGTTATGATGGTTATGTTCTTCTTCCACAGTTGGAGGCAGCAGTGCTGTTGAATACCAGATGCTGGAAACCATGGGGGGGGGGGGGAGTGCTCTTGTACTTGGGTTCTGCTTGCAGGTTTCCCACAGGCAACTGTCTGTTCAGCCACTATGAGAACAAGATGCTGGACTATATAAGGCCATCAGCCTGATCCAACAGGCTCTTCTTAAGTTCTTACATCCTAATCTTTCTGGGTCTCAATTTCTACTTTGGAAGAACTGTTCATTTATTCCTCAAGTGTCTGTAGATGTACCTTCATGGAACTCCATATATGTGGGGTTGGTGTGTAATTCTTTCTCCGGGTTTCCACAAATGCGTGTTCCCAATTTCTGGATTTGCTTCATTAAGTTGATTCACCCGGTCTTTGGAGGCTGCTTAAAGGCCTAATAGCATATTGAAGAAGAAATCTGGTCTGAAATTCATTGCAGCCTTCTGTGTTTTAACCTGGTTTCCTCTTGAAAGCCCCCAGGAACATACAGGATTCAAAATGAGAGAGAACTCCAAATAGCATTTCTTTTCTGAGCACTGTTTGAAAGCAGGAAGAAGGCATATCATCTAAAGCTTTTGAGAATAAATATAGGGAGAGGAAGGCTCGGATAACCTCAAATGGCTAAGATGTACAGACTTTCCCCTCCCACCTCACTCCTGAAAATCCATCTGTGATGCTAGTTATACCTGTTAACATCCACCTTGACAGTGCAAACCAGTTTCAAATGCAACAGAAAAATGGTACTAATTACCAGAATTTCTGGCTATGCCTATACTGGATTCTTCATTGGCAGGCTAATGGGTGACCTGCTCTGCCTTGGCTTTTATATCTGTAGTATGATTAGGAGGCTCATAAGCCACATATAATACAAAGCCTTCTAAATTTAGCCCAATAATTGAGCCATGTGACATTACCTTTCCACTGATGAGAGGAGCTGGAAATCAATGCAATTGATCAATGTGATTTGCTGTCTTCATAATGAGAAAGGGAAATGTGAGAACCCTTTTTCATCATTGCAGAAGCTCCCTGAAGCACAGACTCCAGGAAAATGTCCAAATGGTTCCAGTTTTGGCCAGGTAAATTCAGAAATCACCACTGAAACCATAGAATCAAATATCATTTTGGGTAAGAAGAAAATGTGCTGGTTTATGGTCCTCCTCTAAAAGAGGAGTGGGAAATACAGGAAAAAACCTAGCACTTGTTCCAGCTGGTCCATCACCTCCCGACATGCCTATCTCCTGCCAGCTGTTTTGTGGAAAGATCCTTATTTGCTTATTTTTGATGTTGATCATTGTGATTTTTTGATTGGATGCTGATATTACTTGCAAGCCACTGAAGAATGGGCTTGTGTACTGAAAGGCATTTGTAAATGACTGCAGTAACTAAATACAAAATTGAGTTTATTTTAGTCCTCTTTGAATAAAGTGTTGATTTAGATGCAGCCTTAAACAGACTCAGTCTACTGACCCAGCCTGTTCCACTTTGCCTTCACTGATTGGCAATGCCTTTCCGGAAAGTTAAGAGAATTAGAAACTTGGGGCACTTTGAAAACATTCCTGAGTTACGACGGTAATCATTTTGAAGTTCTTGGATTTTGAAAACTGTTCCCATCTGGACTGAAAAAGGAAATGAAGGGAGTGACACATGCTGGTTTTGCGTGGCTTTTGACAATGCACCTGTCCTGGGGATTTTGTGCCATATGGTGCTCTGCCTCAGGCTACAAGAGAGAACGGGTGTAGCTCAGTAGCAGCGCAATTGTTCTGCATACAGAAGGTCCTAGGATCAATCGCCAGCATCTCCAGTAGAGGTGGGGAAAGTCTCAAGTCTTTTCTTTTTATTAATAGTTTGTTTTCATGTTAATATAAATATATAAAAAATTAATAGAAAATATGAATAGAAACATGTATTAATAAGAAAGGAGGAAGAAATGAAGGTGGAAGGTGGAAGGAAGAAGGTGAATTTAATATTAAATTAATGTGAAAAAATATATAAGGAGATATATTGACTGCTGCTTTGTCAGAACTCTATAAACGTATACCATCTTTTGATAAATTTGTTTTGATCATTGCTATAAATTGCCCCCCCCCCATTATATGTTTGCTTTATCTGCAAGTCCATTTCCCAACTTTAGTCATTCCATAACTGTTGGGGGATTTGGGGGGCAATGGGAACTCACAGGCAACATTTTGGCAACTTCTGGGATAAAGGCTACCTCTGATTTTTTGTTCTCATTCCTTCATTCAAGCCCCTTCCTTTGTGTCTGTATCAATGAATATCTTTTTCTTTTGTGTTTTAAATGTTAGAATTAGATTTTAAAATTTGCTGTACTTTCTGTGTGATCATGAAAAGCATTATTTAAAAAAAAATACAGGATGAAATGTAGGAAAGATTTAATGAAATGGATCCCAAATTCTCAGTAGGAATGTATGCGGATGTGGAGAACCACATACTAAATCACTCCAGGTAATTTTCTTTTCTTTTCTGGCCAGGTATGTGAGGGAAAGAAGAGGAAAGGGCAAGAATGATCAATGCCTCACTGAAATATTTATAGAAATCTACAGCCAAATTCTGCAGCTGCTTGAAGATCAAGAGTGCCTCTTATCTCCCTCCATGGGTCAGAGAATCAAAACTTCCTTCCTTATTAGCTTTGGAGACAAAGGAACAAGGTCGTCATATTCATCTAAATAACTCAAGACACCTGAATAACTTCAGGGGTAAGGAGAAAGCGACATGCTGTACAGTGTAGACCTGGAGGGCTAGTACTGAATACAGAGTCTGGGCAGATGGCTATCCTGTCTCACAGCTGCACCAGATTCATGAGTAAAGATGCCACTCAATGGTCAGCAGGCTACTGCAGGTGACACAGAAAATCCAACTTTGGGATATTTTGGCCTATGGGAAGCCTACAAGCTGGACATGAATGCAATGCTCTCCCCTCCTGCAGTTTCCAGCAACTGGTATTTGGAAGCAAAAAAGAAAAAGGGTAAAGGACTCCTGGACGGTTACATCCAGTCAAAGGCGACTATGCCACTCATATCACTTTCAGGCCCAGGGAGCTGGCATTTGTCCACAGACAGGTTTCCGGGTCAAGTGGCCAGCAGGACTAAACCATTTCTGGCACTATGGAAACACCATGATGGAAACCAGAGCGCACAGAAATGCTGTTTACTTTCCTGTCACAGTAGTACCTATTTATCTACTTGCGCTGGCGTGCTTTCGAACCTCTAGATTGGTAGGAGCCGGGACAGAGCAACTGGAGCTCACTCCATCATGGGGATTCAAACCGCCGACCTTCTGATCAGCAAGCCCAAGAGGCTCAGTGGTTTAGGCCACAGCGCCACCCTATACAGCCCCTGACTGTGGAGGTTCTAACTTTCATCTTTATCCTGCTTTGTTTGTTCATTGACCCTGGCTACTAGTTTCTCCCATGGCTTCTCAACTTGTGACTCACCTCCAACAAGATTTCTAAATGGTGATTCTGTGAAACAGGATGCTAGATTAGATGGGCTTTTGTTCTGATTGAACAGGGCCATTTTTTATGTTCATCATTCACACACTTATTTAATTGGTGATTTTTATATGGGGGGAATGTTGCTTTCAAACAAACACCACAAGCTGCTTTGAAAAGCCCATTCTTTATAGTCAATCTCATTTCAGCTAAGGTTTTGGGAAATTCTATCAATCAATGTCAGTGGTTTTTAATCAAATCCTTCATTCCAGTGCACAATAAGTGTTCAACAATATACCCCCCCCCAGTCCCCCAATAGGCTTCAGTGCTAACAGGTTACAAGGGCTCCTAATGGCAGATGTTTTTGAAAGAAAACATTATTGTATTATGAAATTATTTTGCTGTCCTCTAAATGCTAGTCTAAATAAATGAATTTCATTTGTTTCATTACTTCTAATTATGAAAATGAACTGTAATTCAAATGAATGAACTCCACGTTTTTCATTAGATTCTAATGGAAGGAGAAACTGATATATCATGGAACAGCCTATACAGAACGGTGAGACAGAGCAGGAAGGGGAGTGAGGGAGAAAAAGGTGTGTGTATGTGTGTGTGAAATTGACAGGTATATATTGTGTACAAAATGGAGAATGGTAGTCTTCCCTACAGGAACGTTTGCAGGCCTGAAGCCCTGGGGTAATAGGGTAGTACAGTCATACTTCAGGTTACAGACGCTTCAGGTTGCATTTTTTCAGGTTACAGATGTGCCAAAACCCGAAAGTACCGGAATGGGCTACTTACAGCTTTCAGTGGTCGCACATGCGCATAAGTGCTAGATCACGCTTTGCACATGCGCAGAAGCACTGAATTGCATGCGCAGATGCGCTGCTGCAGGTTGTGAATGCTATAGGTTGCAAACGTGAATCCCGCATAGATCACGTTTGCAACCCGAGCGTCCACTGTACAGTGTATGAAAATACCACACTCTTTGGATAGAAAGCACTGAATTTACAGGCAGCAGAAGGTAGCAGAAAGGACTTACCATTGTGACAGAGAGTTTCCTTCACCCCCCAATCTTCTTTTAAAACATGCTAAGGCACTTTTAAAAGCAGGAATCCTTGGTGGCGGCATTTTTGCTGATATAATAACAGTGGAGCTCTGGCCACTCTCAGCACCATTCTTAGTTTCCTGAAAGCTTCTGAGAAGAGCACTTGATTGCATGCACTTGCATGGCAGTGAAAGTGACCAGAGCTTCACAGGCACTGCTGTACCCTCAAAGCTGCCAGCAACTCACCCCCTCCACCCAAACGGCAACCAAAACAGCTTCCCCTCCAGTTTACCTCTTGTGGGTGGGAATAACACAATGGGACAAGATTGCATTCATGCATACATACATGGGATTTTCCTAATTTGTGCTCCTAGCTGGACATGTATTGGACAGCCCATTGGAGGGTTCCTCATCTTGTGTGGAACTTTTGGTGTGTTTTGTGGGTGACTTTTGGTGGTTGAGGCTGGGTTAGTGCTATAAGGAGGGAAAAATCCACACATTCTGTTGCATCTTTGAATCCTGGCTATGGGCCTGAGCTCACCCTCACTTTATAAGGTGAACCATACTGTTCAGTAAGCTATTCAGAAGATCCTATGATTTGGGAAAATGGCTGGAAATGTAAGTCATATGAAAACCTTGCTGGAGGGAATAATTGGATCTTTGAAGAAAAGTAAGCTTGTACAATGAGCACTCACACTTTACATTGTGGGTGCCCTTTGCGGGATTGCGCGCAGTGCTACAGTTCCCAGGGAACTTAATGGCAAACAGGGACTGGCCTGCCTCTCAGTGTTATTATTTGGAGGTTCATGCCCAGCCTCAATAGTCAAGTTTCTTGCTGGGAGATGGGGCCAGTCCCATT